CTGCTTTAGAAAGTGTAGTTGAAGGGCATGTTTGTTTACATTATACAGAAACTATGGCTATTTACTTCAATTGTTTTTGTCTTTAACTTGGATTTTGTGGGGTTTTTGGTAGTATATGTGTATGCCATCACAGTTGGTGGATTAAAATGTCATTCAGTGTATTCATAGACTTCTGTTGTGATTAACATTTGTTTTCTTATCAAAGAAAAATGCTCATGATCTTACCTTTTAAGCTTTGGCCGTATATTTGTTGAACACAAGCAATAAGCCAGATTATTTGCAGGTGTTTTGTATGTTCCTTTAATGGATACAGCCCAATCTGGAGTGATTCAGACACTGTAAGGGAGCAATGTTCTCTTGACCATTAGTGTCACGTAAAGACGTGACAAAACTGGCAGTTGTGATCTGTAAGGTTATTATGAGCACAAGCTCGTTCCTCTCTGTTCAGGCTGAAGTTATTCTGTGTTTGATCTGATGGCACCGGGGTCCTTTGAAAGTGCAAGGATGCTTCCTGCAGCCACATCTCTACCAAGAGTTTAAATGCAGTTCATATAAAAACCTAGACTTTGTGGAGCTTGATACTATTTTAGAAAAGGCTTTTACCTGTCACATGCATGAGCACTTAACAGGCTTTTCCTTGAGTCCTGACTGAAACAAAAGCACAGATGTCACATCGTTCAAATTCCTTTAGTTAGTGAAACTAGCAGGAATCAGATCATCTATAATCATGGGAAGGGTGGAAAGCAGTTGCCCATTAAGGAGTAACTGTGTGAATGCCTTCTTTGGGGTGCCATAAGGAGTTTTGGGCAGGGATACTTCAAACTGGTGGTGCGCTGCTTTTCTAGCTGGCAGCCGCGTATAACCTTTGAGCAAAGTCCAAGAAGAGGGTTTTGGTAGGAATCCTCAGCTCTCCAGTCCAGGCAGTGTGGGATGAAGGTTGTTATTGTTTCCCATGGACATTATCCAGGAGAGTGGAGCCCTCATATGGCTATTAGCTATCCAGAAAATGTTGACCAGTGTGCAGAGCTGATCTTTGAATCTGAGGTGACTAAAAATTGTATGTAAAAGATAAGGAAAAACAGCCATGTAGTCAGAGTTGGCAGATCAGTTCTGGCATTTTTCCCCACCCCTAGACTGGGAAAGCTTCCTCCCCTAGACAGGAGGAGTTTCAGTCTGAGGCCAGAAGAAAAATACTGGGGGGAAAAGATGCCCAAGTATTTATTTTTATTTTTAATCTTTCACTGAAGTATCTGATCAAGGATGAGTTATTGAATTAGAATTATCAAATTTGATACTTTATGGGGAGAGGCAAATTTTCATTTTAAAATCATTGTTAGAGCATCAGGTGTTCATTAGAATGATATAATTATTGTAGTTTTATGAATCTACATAATGTAGCTTTTCATTTGGAGAAGTTATTCTGTGTTTTAAAAGTAAGTTCACCTTGTGTCTTATGATGTCCTTGTTATGAAAGGTAGCTTGGATACCACACAGACTCGATCAAAGGCTTACATGCAGATCTGAATTTTTCCTTTTCCCTTTAGCGCAAGGGGTAGGACGTAGCGGAAAATTTGTTGCATTTGTTTTCTGTTGGTTTTCACCTGTATATTAAAGCAAGACATACCTGTTAAATAAAATTCTGTCTTCCTCTTTAATTAGTGTTAAAGTTGAGATATTTTAAATGGATTGCATTGCATTACGGCACATCCAATTGCTGTGTAAGGTATTTGTTGCCTGATGACTACAGGATTAAAGGTTATAGGGTGCTCTGGCTTCTGTATTGCACACTTAAAACAGTAATAGACTGTTAGAGCTCGGCTTCTAGAAATAGCCCTTAAAAGTGCAGAAGGCTTGGAACCTGTTCCTGCTTGAAGTGTGGGTTTTTAATGTGCTGAAAGAAGAGCTATAATAGGATAATAAAAACTCAGCAGTAATTTCATCTCTTGCTGTCCTGTAGTAGGCCTTCAAAGAGTTGTCCAGTCACTTAGGATGTGGAGCATCTCGTCCATGTTGGCAAGCTTCTGCGGAAACATTAATCAAATATAAAGAAAGGGCTTTGGCGCTTCTTCACTAAAAATAAACTCTTATTTGACCAGTAAAAATATAGTTATTCCAGAAAAAGATTATGGATGAACAGTGTGATTTATTGCATCTTAATATATTACTGAATGCTATACTGATTAGTGTCATTAGCTGCTTGACTCTTGGCAAATTCCGTGTTCTTTTTAAAAAGCTTTTATATTGTTACTATCGCTTAGGGAGCCCTAAGCACAGGAAGATCTCGTGTGCATATACAGGATTTAAATTTTATCATAAAAGTTATTTAAGCTGCAATTTTTTTTACCTAATAAAATGCATTCTCCTTTTATGTGACAACATGCAAAACCTTTTGTGGTGTTGGTCATCCGTGGTGAAGCCCTTGTAAACCTGTTCCTTGACTTTTTGTTGTATGTCTTGCTTTTAGAGTTTACCCTTGCAAGAGCAGGGCAGAACAAAGCCTCTTGAGGTTTTACAGAATACTCACTATTAAAAGGTCTACGCATACTTATGTGTACCTGTTAAAAATAACCCCAACAAACAAAACCCTAATGATTAAAGGCACCAGCTTTGTCAAAAAAAGCCATCAAAAAATGCTAAGGTGGTAAGTGTTCGTGCCTTATAGTGCAGCTGAGCCTGTGGTGATGCAGCAGTCTGGCTGTGTGGGACTGCTTTGAGGAAGCTGGTAGTCAATACTGAAAATTAACCTTAGGATTGTTTCATCTTCATTTGAGATTTCGTTCAATGGTTTGCTTTAATATGTCTGAGTTTGCAATATATTTTTTTTAAAACTGCAACTAAAAATTCATTAGTCATTTCTGGAAGTCATTCCACATGGCTTTGCCAGCATAAGTGATTTTTGTGGAAGTTTGAGCTCAATACTGTGAGGTGCTGAAGGTCTATTGTGAAACTTGGAAGCGTGCACAAATCGTCAGCAAAGGGTCTTCACAGGACCTACTTTGATGGCTTGACCTTCACCTGGAACCACTTCTGAAAATCTGAGTTTCAGAAACATGTTTGTAGCTAAATGTTCAATGTGAGAACCATATTCAAGAGACTGAAATAAAACAGTAACACCTTGTAGCTTTAAAAGTAGTGTAGCCTAACTAATACCACTGTGTTTAAGTCTGCAGTGTGTGCTAAAATTTTAGCTTCAGCCAAGTGTTGTGGATATAGGGCTGTTTTGGTTGGGGTTTTTTTTTTTGTTTGGTTTTTTTTTTTTTTCCAAGGGATCTTAAAACTAAAGGGTATTGGGCTGTTTAATATATTATGGGGGTATCAGTTGAAGCCAAATGTGTTGCTCTTGTGTTGGTTTTTTTTTTAAAGGTGTAACTCTGAAGCTGATAATTACTCTTACAAATAATAGTGTTCACTTTCACTGTCATCAAGCAGCAGAAATCTGATTTTGACTTTAAGGCAGATGAATTCCTATTCTGAAGCGTTAGTTCTTTTTTCTAATGATAATGTGATTGGACACTAATTATCCTTTGGAATGAAGCGCTTGAGCTCATACTGCTCCTAAGCCATTTGTTCTTTGGCTGGGGACAGTTTATCATGTCTAGAGATCATTTTTTTTGCCTTTTTCCCCCCCCCATAGTCCCTGGGAAGGGGCTGTGCTTGGAAATTACAATAATGAACAGAATATACAAGTTCTGGTTAGAATGCAAGGTAAACTACAAATGTAATATTCGTGCCATGTAAGAAGTCCAATCCTGACTTAAAAGTCGGAACTTATATTTACCAAACTGTAACATTAGGAGTCTTTTTGCTTTGAATATATTGAGTGAACTTTAGAACTGAATTTGGATTTAGTGCAAGAGCCGTATGATTGCTTTCTCCTGATCAGCAGTTAGTTTTGTGTAACTAATATCCTTGAAATACTGAGTGTGCTTCTCCTCATCAAAAATACCCTCGGCAGTCACTCTATGCTGATGAATTACTGGCGTCAAGTTCTCCATTCAGTTTTGCGCTAGAGCAGAGAGGGATGTCTCTTGGTCTGGGCAGAAGGCCTGAAATTCCAGAGCTCTCACCTTGGCTACTCACTCCCCTGTCTGCCTCTGGCAAAATTACCCTTTTTTTTTTTTTTTTTTTTTAGCTTCAGTTGCTGCACCTGTGAAATGGAGACAATGCCTCCTCACAGGAATGTTTGGCAAATTGTGTAGGTGGAGATGAGCATCTTCAAAGTGAAAAATCTGTGGAGGAAAAAAAAAATTAAAAAAATCTCTTAAGGTATTTCGGTGTGTAGTTCCCTGAAATGGATGACCCAGCCTAGTTCCTTTCTGCCATCAAGAGGCACATCAAGAGATCCTGTTGCTGGCAGCCTGGTCTCGCCCCTCACCCTGCACTAGCTGGTGTTGTGTCGGTTCCCTCAGCTGGGACTGAATGAATGCCAGCCTCTCCTTCAGGGGTGGTAAGCTATTAAACGGCCTGTTCTGCCACATCTGTTCAGGCAATTAATTATCAAATATTTTGATAGCCATGGGCTTTATTTAGTCATCTTAATTGCCCTTTTTTGGTAGGTGTAGCATTCTATTGAGAGGAGAATGTGTTTTTCTTTTTTTTTTTTTCTTTTCATAAAATGGTTTATATGGAAAGGTGTCCCATTTTACAGCTGGATATGAATTTGCTATACCCTTCAGTGCTCTCTCCCAAATATGCAGTAAGAATACCCATTTTTTGTTTCTGTGATTGCTTTGCCAGCGTAATTTTTGTGATGATTTAACTCAGTTTTGTTACAATGTAAAGTAACTAGAATGAAGGTAAGTTTAAATTTAAGAAAAAAAAAAAAAAGGAGAAAATAAGTGTTGCTTTGAGTGTCTAACTTCCCTAGTAGTTAGAGAAAGTCTAATTGCTTAGGAAAATTGTAAAAGGTACTGAATTAAAAATATTAACAGTACTGATGATATTTTTTTTTTTTTTGTCCAGTAAAACATTTCTAGTTTTGTCTGTTTTTACTAGAACAAGTTGAAATCATCACAGAAGGATAAAGTGCGTCAGTTTATGGTCTTCACACAATCTAGTGAAAAGACAGCAGTGAGTTGTCTGTCTCAAAATGACTGGAAGTTAGATGTTGCAACAGACAACTTTTTCCAAAATCCTGAACTTTATATACGAGAGAGTGTTAAAGGATCATTGGACAGAAAGAAGTTAGAACAACTATATAACAGATACAAAGGTGAGTACCCTGAGTTATATATGTATGTATTCTTAATTACAGTGTATCTTTGCAGCTGTGTTCTTGTGCTTGAATATCTTAACCAAGTCTTTCAGCTTTGTTTTTCTATTACTAGTAACTCAGATTAGAAGGGGAATATACGTAGGCTTCTGCTTCACAAGGATTACATGCGATTGCTTTATGTGCTCTAAATATGTGTACATTAATACAAGATTAGGGTCTGGAACTGCAATGGTGTGTACAGTGAGTAACTGTAATGGTTAACGTGGATTTTAGGTGATTCTTCTGGTGAAAGCACTCAGGACTCGCTCCTGACAAAGTGGAAAGTTACATACCAAGGATGGATTCTACCTTAATTTTTATTCACCTTGTGCTTATTATTAGATAGTTACAAACAGAACAGAAAAGAAAACAAAGTCTCTTTATCTGTTATATAACCAGTGTTCAACAGATGATATCCTACTACAAATAGTAAAGTGGATTCAGTACGTAGAACAAATTCTGTGTTTTAGCACTTTAAAAAAATCTGAAAATGAGTACTACATTTTCTGTCAGTTTTCATATGCGTGGATAATCCAGATACCGTTTTCCTGAAGTCTTTGTTGGCTTGCGTTAGTAGATCTTTGTTTAGTGCACTTGAAATGTGAGCATCTCACTTCCAGACCAGATGTTGATTCCTTCCTGGAAAGAGGAGTGTGCCTGGCTGACTTGGAATCGGTAACGGGACAACGTAACTTTCCTCTTGGAGGTTACCGTGTCCAATCTCATGCATGCTGGTGATGCCAGAAAATGCATAAAAGTAATATTGACTTAGTAGTTTATGGGTAGATGTGATTATTCGATCAGTACAGCTTGCAAGTGGACAGTGCAGAATTGTTTATAATGGTACACAGATTGGCAGTCTTACCAAAGATGCCAGTAATTAAGTGTGCTGGTGGGAAAGGACCACTGTTCTCTGTAGGGAATGAGTCAGAATATGGCGCAAATTATTAGGCAGAGAACAAATGTTTGTGGTGCTTTTGCCTCTCCATGAAAATAACATAAGCTTCATTGTATGGGAGGCTTAATTGTAGTATCTTCCTCAATTGTCAAAACTGAACCGTTGAAAATACTGATTTAATTTTGTTTTTAAAATATTCACTCATAAGGGCTGAAATGACTTCTTGAAAATGTTCGCTTATCTTAAATGCTCGTGTTGAATAAATTAGCTTTCTCAAAAATCTGTTTTTCTTGATACTTACTTTTATATCCCAAAGATCCTCAAGATGAAAATAAGATTGGTATAGATGGTATACAGCAGTTTTGTGATGATCTAGCTCTTGACCCAGCCAGCATTACTGTACTCATTATTGCATGGAAATTCCGAGCTGCAACACAGTGTGAATTTTCAAAGCTGGAATTCATGGATGGAATGACTGAGCTAGGGTAAGTGTGCAGTAAGTATTAGACACTGACAGTGTAATCCAGTGTCAGAAGCTGGAATGCACAGTGAAACAGCCCTGCTTTGGGGAATCCACAATCCCGTTGTCCTTTCAGACTACAGAGACTTTTTGGAGTCTAGCATCACTTGTCTGCCTCTGTAAAAATGCTGTCTATGCGCTAGATGCTTAGTGACCAAAAAAAGGGAGGCAACTTTCAGTGCTACTTGCCTTGGTTGTGTGAGTATTTCAGTTAGTTGCCATAGAGCTACTGCAGTAGGTAAGCAAGGATGTTGGTCTGCAGTCTCGCATACCTGGGTTTTCTCTGCCTTCTGAGAATGTAGTAGTCTTTACCACGTTTTTCTAAAAATCTTGCGGATTATAGAATCTAATGTATCAGCTAGTGTGTACAAATGGCAATGTGAAGAAATACAACAATTTCATTTCTTTGTTGTTATAGATGCAGACTAATTACAGGCTTCCTGAACTTTGTTTTGGTAATCGTAGTGTATTCCACAAAAAATTACAAAATTTTAAGTTATAACTCGTATTTTATGGCAAAATGAATAATACTCAAATAAATATGCTTTTTAAAATGCAGATGTGACAGCATAGAAAAACTGAAGGCCCAGATTCCTAAAATGGAACAAGAATTAAAAGAGCCAGGAAGATTTAAGGATTTTTATCAGTTTACTTTCAACTTTGCAAAGAATCCAGGACAGAAAGGTTTAGGTATGTATTCTTAATTATAAACATTTGTTTGTAAATATGGGAAATGACTGATTAAAGCAGTAAGTGAAAATATTATTGTGATCCAATGAGTCTGACAGGTAGCCACCCTTGGGATAAAATAAGTCTCTGTTTTGAAAGATAGGCATCAATTTGAGGTGTTTAGATTGATAGGAATATCTACATCATTAGTATAGACTACAAAATTTTATGAGAGAGGGTTTATTCTTTCACTAAGAGTGTGTACAATTCTCAGTAAGCACAATGGATTATGGTCTTACATTAAAAGCATAATTATACCACCTAGAATTTGCAGCACTGAACAGATTAATTGCATTTTCACTTTTCGGAGAAATTTAAGCTGTAAAACCGATTTCCATGTAAGTACACTTGTACAGTTTCTTGTGACACCAAAGATGCTTGCAAATGTCTTGGCAAAATAGAGTTGGAATACTACAAATAGATTTCTATATCCTGGGCTTGATGCCTGTTGTACTGTTGGTAATAGGTATCTACCTACAGCCTTTTTTTGCTCTTCTGCTGATTGTGCTTTTGATTAGTATAACAGGTGAAGTGGAAGAATCGCTTATTAAAAATAATTTTGGGGAAAACAAAAACCAACACCAAAAACATGACAAAACACCACAGTTTGGATGGAACTAAGTGAACAAACTGTAGATCTGTCTATTCAAAATGGCAAAAATTAGGGAACAAAAGTTTCTTTCAGGCAGTAGTGTTAACCAACCAGAATACATATTCATTTATATACAGTGTAGTTGAGATATTAACCATAACTAGTGTTTAATGACTCTGTAACTGTCAACTTCTTAACTGTTCTACTTTGAGAAGAAATAAAATACTAGAAGGTTCTTCCTTGGCAGCTTGTGAATTTATTTTTCTCAGTAATGAAAATGCCTTAAACTGACTGCCACCGACCAGCTTTGCATTTGCGCACTGTGAAAAGATGAGCATTTTGCATTGGTTTTGTCGTCTTTTATACGTTGACCAACTTCTGGCTTAAAGTGAATATTGAAAAATAAGTGAATAAGCAAGAACTCCATGTCTCAGTTTTGACTCTGTGTCATTCTCTAATATATTTATGTATCCTGTTTTCAATTGGATTGTTAGTGTCATTGTCTTAGAAGAAGCTAAAAGAGCACTGCTAAACTGTTTAAAAATACTTCTGCATGCATGTAGTCGGATATGAATCCTGCAAATAAATGAGTGGGCTGATTCTTAATTCTTGTAGAAAGTCATGTTACATTTTTTTCAGACTGCTACTACAAGGAAAACATGGACAGTAATTGAATTGTGAGAGGACAGAAGTTAAGGTTATGGAGGGTGTCAGTGTGGAATCAGTTCTGCAATGTGAAGAGTTGCAGAGTTTTGGTTTTTGGTTGAGGGTTGTTGTTGTTTGTGGTTACCATTGTAACATTTGTATGTTGTTTTTAATCTTTAAGCAGCTTTACAGAACAAGGAGTATTTTGTAGAAACTCTGTAAGGTGGTAAAAGTGAAATGGCAAATCACAATAATGTCATAATTACATGATCATTTTTAATTCTGTTTTCTCAAAGCTTCAGAATAACAGAACTATTTGATGTAGTACTTGCCTCTTATTTTCTTCTCCATATTTCTAAGGTATAAGCCCGACTTGCATTTTTTTTTCTGATAAGCCCCCCTTCCCCAGTCCCATATGGAAATGAATCTTCTGAGTATCCCAGGTGGAACAGACTCCAGTAAAAATTATTTACCAGGAAAACTAAGGCCCTTGCTTTGTTTCTCATTCATCTTAAAGTGTCTTTATGCAGGTTAAGCTCTAACAGTGACAAAGACAAGTATAGTTTTCTCAGATTCATACAGGGCATACATAGTGTAAGATTTTCCTTGTTGTTGTTATTATTTACTTATTTGTCTGGGTCTGGAAGTGATGTAGGACTAAGCTTAAAATCTGGATACTTACCAACCCTTTTGGTGCCAATAACTACACAGTTCTAGGCATGAATTTATGATAGGGCAGAATAATTCTGGAAACCCTGAAGCAAAAGAATACTGGGAGAAGTACAGTGCTGAAAAGTGAGTGCTCCTAGTTAGGCAATTAATTTTGGAGTGTCTAAATAACTGCTTGTAGAAACTTGCAAATTGATTTCAGTGTATATAATCTTACAAACATTGTGTAGTAGTTCAGGCATAGTCCAGGAAATGCATTTCCTCTGCATAATTCCTTACTACCGTGTAAGTGCTGTGGATGTCTTAAACGTTCTTGTGATATTTGCATGTCATTTGAGAATACCTTTTCGCTTACGTTCATCTCAAACATTGTTTGCTTCACTTGCATCTCTCTGGATAAAACTCAAAATGGAGCATATATTTTGAGACTTTCATATTTGATCCATGAGGACTTTCCTGAGCATTCCTTCACTTTCTTATGAAAACCTAAAATTATATCATTACTTTCAAATATTGTGACTTCATAAAATTTCGTTTAAAATACATAGTTTGTCCTAGGGTGTTATGTTATTGTGCTTCCATGTGTGGACTCACATAATGAGTTTGACGTTGCAGCATCCTGAGACCTGTTTTTTAAAGCCCTTGCTTACCCAGAAGAATAATCTCAAGATTGTCTAAACATGTCAGAATGCACAGTTTGTTTACAGTATTTGTTTTATAAACCACTATAAATATGCAGCAATTTGATGACCTTGCATTTTTTGGTATGCCTGATATTAGCATCACAAGTAAATAAAACTTGGCTTTCTAGTCTTTTTCCTTGAGGAACTGACTAGCTTCATCTGAAGTTTGTCAGTTCATCTATTCATTTTCAGAAAGACTTTCAGAAAGATTTTTCAGTTGAAAGCTGAAGTGTATGTTTTTGTATCTGAATCTTCTACCAAAGAGAGATGCGTAGCCTTTGCACTCTTTAAGCTATGTGTGGAAATGACAGCTTTTTATTTACTGAGGAGTAGTGACTTCTGTTTAGTGACTTCTGTTTAATTAGTCACTGCTTCTCGAAACTCAAATTTACACTTTTGTCTGAAATTTTTTCCTTACAGCTGCTGGAAAATCCTCCACAAATTTTATTCTTTAGTCAGAAAGCATTGTAATGTGAATATGCTGTTTGAGAAGAACTTTTAATATCAAAGATACTAAACTTCCCCCCAACGCCATCTATTTTCCCTTCAGCAATGCAGAGTGCGTGCTCTTTGTTTGCTGTTGATTTCCCCTCTAAGATCCACCTCCCTGCTTTTTTAAAATAGTTTGGGTGTCTGGGGGAAGGGAGTGGTTTTCTTGGGTTGTGCCAGGGTTTTTCTTTTTCTTCCTGAGGTGCACTTGGTCAGGTGCCTCTTCTCTCTGCTCTCACAAGAAGATTGTTTATGGAAGAGATTTGCTAGCCTGCAAAATATATAAAAGCTTTTGTTAAAAAAGAGGTCACTTAACTAGGTAGCCTTTTGGGGTTACTGTATGTAGTTGGTGATGGATACTGAATTCAGTAAGATCCCAGTTAGTAGCATTTCGTTATACAGAACGAGGTCCTTCTTAATTCCTGGGAATGGAGATTGTGCTAGGTAGAGATTTAGAACTTGGACACGTAACTTCCCTTTATCAGCTAACACATTACTGTATATCACTAATAAACAGTAAATGCATGTCAGTTTAGCCTTTGGCAAATACCAGGGAGGTGAGTTGTTCTTTTTTTCTTACATGCTAGACTAACCAGTCTCTTTTTCTAACTGCTACACTATAACAGCACCCACTGCTGACAGCAGCACACAGCTGCCTCGCAGGCAGTTCTTGTTCCTGAGCTGCGTCAGTTCAGATTTCTCAGGATGACTGAGAAACGGATTCAAAACAAGCAAGAACTTAACAGGAGTCTTTGGAAAAAAGCAACAAAAAACCCCACCCCAAACCAACAAAAAAAAAAACAAACCCAAAACTCAACCCAATGAAAAAAAGACCAACAACTACCAACTATCAACCATCTGCTTGTACAGTACTGAAAGATTTTTTTTCAAAAGGAAACCTGATTGCAGAAACGAACAGTTGACACAAACCATGTTACAAAGCCAGCACCTGTAACAAAGTTGCTCTAAAAATGAAATCATAAAAAGCTAGTTTTATGTAAGTTGTATTTTATGTATTAAAAAGATTAAAGAAGATCTTACTAGAACATTTTTTTTTTCGAGTCAATAGCATTTCTAAGACAAAAATATTCCACTGTATTTTAACTAAAGTATTGTTACATAGCAAAAGTCATATGAAATATCCTTCTGTGTTTTGGATATTTAGCTAGTAATATGGGCAATTTTCAGTTCTTCTATATTCATGTGATAGTATCAAAATCTATAAAATATTTGTGTAACACTTTATTTATGCTTGCCTTTTTGTAAAGGATCCACGAGTATATTTGCATTAGATTAATCTGTTCACCTTTATGAGTGTATCTCAGTGGAGAGGATTTGAAATGTATATCTCTAAAAGTAATATATTTTAATATTACAGATTTAGAAATGGCCATTGCCTACTGGAATTTAGTACTTAATGGAAGATTTAAATTTCTAGACTTGTGGAACAAATTTTTGTTGGTAAGTTTAAATCTTTACATAAACTGGACTGCAGTGTTTTCAAAACTTGAAAGATAAATATGTTTAAATTATTGAGTAGATGAGACAGACTATTTAGAACCAGATCCCAAATACTGCACTTCATAGTGTGTGGTAAAGAAATAGGTTTTGGGGATATGGTTGTGTCCAAGACAGTAACAATGAATATGTATAAGGTTTTTTTAATATATTTTTTTTTAAATGTAAATTTTCCACCCCTCCAAACAGGAACATCATAAAAGATCAATTCCTAAGGATACCTGGAACCTTCTTCTAGACTTTAGTACAATGATAGCAGATGATATGTCTAACTATGATGAGGAAGGTAAACATTTCCATTTTCTTTCATTAACTTCTAACTGTGTTTTATGCTACATTTATCACTGTATATCTGCTTTGGCACAGCTGTGTAATAACAGCATAATTAGAATATCACTTGTGATCTAAAGTTCAGTTAGAGCTACTTTAATGCATGATGTTGTTATCTGTTTGCTACTGCAGGTTTAAAACAGAAAAGCTGCAACTTTCTTAAACCCATTTTCTTTTTTTCCTTCTGTCTGAGCTCAAATACTAATTCTTTCTTAGAGACAAACACTGATATTTGTCCACTTAAAAAACACAGATTCTCTGTCAGCGCAGTTCTTGGCGTCTTCAACTAAGTAACTGATTTGTGGCCTGTGCATTTCTTCGCAGTGTCCTCTGATTATTGCATTTCTTAGCTCAGAGTATTTTTTAAGTTTGGTTGCTTCAGTTTATGTGAAGATCAGACATGTAGTAATATTAAAGTGAAGATGGCAGCATACAAGGATTGCTAAACATAAGTTATATCCTACCAAATATGTTTATTGTAAATTTTTTTATTGATCTTTCCTCTTCCAGTCCATCTGTAGCCAAGAACAGCTAATTACCTTCAATCGTTGGTGGCAGATCAGTTCAGTGAGTGGAGGAAACTGTAAACTTCTGATGCTTCCAGAACAGAGGGGAGCAAACTTCTACAACTTTATGGACAGTTCTCATTCCCTTATCATTGAGCAAATAGGCTGCTGCCCATAATAAATCAATGTAGTTTAGAAAGATTAAAGGCAGAAAACATGTTTTAATGATTTGGAATAAAAATATTTTATGGGTGGAAAAATAAAAAATGGCCCACACTTATTTTTAATCTTCATGTCACCATCATGCACGTGACGGGACCTCTTTGGATGTGGCTGCCCATGATATGTAAAATATTGATATCCATTTTAACTACCTCTTGATAAAGAACATGGAAGAGTGTCTATATAGTGTAATACCAGCCTTGTGGCGCACTAGGCTACTGCTGGCTGTCGCAGTGCATTTTGCTGTTTTCAGGTATGGCTGAGGATGCCCATTCTAACAGGTGAGCATTGCATTCACGCAAAATCAAATTGTGAGCAGTAAATGCTGTAGTATGTCACGATACGCTGCTGCACACAGCACAGACTGCTTCGTCCAATATTCAACATCTTTTAAGCAGCTGTTGCCATCCTGGAGATCAAGTTCTGGTGCCAAAACCAGGACAGTTTTAAGCTAGAAGTTTTGTCAGCTGCTTTTTTTTCCTGCCTTTTTTTTTTTTTTTTGGTCAGGAAGATAAAGGATATATGACCCTTGAAAGGGATGTCTATTAAATGGTTTTAAAGGAAGGAGAAATCTTTAACCAGCTCTTAAATTTCAAGCAAGGAAATTGCAATTTTTTTCTTACATTTTTTTTTCTTGAAACTATGCCTAGTTAAGACTGGCAAGTAAATAACTTGTCTCTGAAGCTTTAAAAAGAATGCCTTGTTGAATTAAGTTCTTATATTCTGGTCTTTTTGGTCTTTTTTCTTTTAGGGGCATGGCCAGTTCTTATTGATGACTTTGTGGAATTTGCACGCCCTCAAATTGCTGGGACAAAAAGTACGACAGTGTAGCACTAAAGGACCCTTCTAGAGTGTACATAGTCTGTACAAATACCTGAAATGGAAAATTGCACAGTCAATTTCTGCTGGCTGGACTGAACTGAAGATCAATCCTCACGATATGGCTGAGGGTTGAGACAAACTTTAAGGATACATCTTGGACCATATCATATTTCATTCTTCTACTGGTGGTTTGGGCTTTTCTTCTAGTCTGGACCACTCTTGCCAGTTAAAATTCCAACATTGTGGATTTCATCACGGATTTTTTTTCTAATTTTTTTTTTTTTTTTGGTGGACCACCCTAGTTTCATCTCCCATAAGTCCTAGAAGCTTTATAATTATTTTGAGGTTTCTGGTTTCACATAAAGCACAATGCTGATCATCATCAGACAACAGTTGTATGACATCTGAATTACACAGATCAACATCAAAACAATTTTTAAAAGAATCCTTAAATATACACTTGGGGCTAGTTGCAAAGACTGTATTGATAGCACTTCCTGTAAGAGTGATATATTTAAGTGTACTGGGTCCGATTTTTTTTTTTTTTTTTTTTTTCTTTTCTGGAAAAGTAAAGGTATCGTATAAGTGAGTTTGAGTATCTGGTAAAAACAATTACAGAAATAACCAAGAAAACCCAAGGTGGTTGATACTGGGGTATCTAGGTGCCTATCTGAATGGTTTGATTGTACATCAACTGACTGTGAGAACAGTTGAAGTACGACACAACTACTGTGCACTTAAAGCACCCGTGTGTAATGTTATAGTCAGCCTTCAGTGAGCGTCATTGAGATAAGCTGTGTGCGTCACGATAGAATCTAATATTCCTAGGTTATTATCTAAGAAATCAGATTTCATTACAGTTTTGAAATGCTTATGTCTGTCAAAGAAAGGTTTTTCATTTCTGTGGAAATCTAAAACTTGAATATACTGAATTTGTGTCTTAAATGTTTGCTACACAATACAGTATTTTAAATTGAGACATGGAATTTTTATGGTTGAGGTATGACGAAACAAATGGCCCTGTTGTACAAGAAGCTGGTGAGTTTGATGTGAATCTAGGTTTTGAAACCGTTATCCTGAGAAGTAAGTTAACTCTTTATAACATATAGGTACTGCCATTATGGATGACACCCATTTTTTAATTATTTTGTTGAGTTTTCCTTAAATCGACATATCACTGTGGTTGCCAAATATGGAAATTCAGAGTAAAGCTTTCCCAAACAAGCACAGATCAGATATAAAATACTACACTGGCTTTGTTTGCTTAAATTATTTTGTTGATCCATCACTACTACTTACTGTCTTACTGCATTTAACTAAATCCTTTGTTTTGTTCAAAACAGGTTTTATCAGATGCAATTCTTTATTTTTAATATTACAAGAGCTCTTGAGCTGCTTTTGTGCTAAACATGGTCTTTTACTCCTCACTTTACTTGGGGAGAGATTTGATAAATACTACTCTGTAAAACAAGCTGGAAAATACCGAGCTCCAGGAAAAGACCGTAGTTACAAGTAAGGATAGAGGTTTAAGTCCATGCTCTAAATAGTCCCATGATAAGGCCAGAATTATTTTTGAAGTGAGTAATTGGTACTTGCACTAAACAGCAGAACACTTTTATGCAGATGCTAAAAGTATTTTAGGGAAAAATTGACTGTTAAACTGCTAAAACTTTTTATTTGTGTTCTCTGAAGCTGGCCGTAAGGCTGGCTCCCCTTACAGCAGTGCTCTTTTAAGAAAATCCAATTGTGCATTTCTTTCAAGAATACCGTTCCACAAAAACATTGCAAACTTTCTCCAGCTACTGGAATTGGCTATGCCAAAAAAAACCGTGTGTTTTGCTGCTTTCAGTATTTCCTTTCTCAATTTTGTGTAAATATAAATGGGGACTTGAACTTACGGGGGAGGGTGGAAAAAAGCTCTACAAGGGATCTATGCGTGCTGTTTTCTGTCTTGAGGGTTTTGGTACAGTTTCAGATTGATTAGTTCAAGTATGCTGTGTTTGGAGAGGAGAACTGACTTGCTTTTTATCCCGATACAGACTCGTCCCTCAAAAAAGTCTGAGAGTGGGTAGTGGCGTCATGCCGTGGTGTTTTAAAGACTATTCCTTTTGAATGCAAGATCTTTTCAACAAAATAGTGTTGTCATCAGTTTGGTACTACACGCTTATAATTACTGTGTAATTATAAAGAAATACATAAAACTTTGACTAATTATGTTGCAGAAAAGCGTTATTTGTGCTATGATGGCATCTTAAAAGTTTTTCAAAATGAGTGACTGAAGTTGAAAGAAACATTGATTTAACAGGGTGTTGTTCTAAGGACAAAATGCCTGGTGACAGGGAATATTTTGTATTGAAACGTGCTCAGATGTGGCCATGTGTTTTTTCCTTTATATATTTGTGTGGTTTTTCTTTTTTTTTTAAGAATGCAGACAGTTGCTTACTTGGATTGCTTTAATTCGTAAGTGCTTATGTCTTCGATTTGACGATCTCCCCTTAAATGGATCAGTTTAATTTTGCCAAATGTCAAGAAAAAAAAAAAAAGGCGGCGAACATCAAGTTTGTAACCTGTTTTTATATATTAAATATGTACAAAATTAGAAGTGCCCTGATATAAAACACTTAATCTTGAGATTATATTTAGTAAAAAAACCATCATTTGCATATCTCTGTAAGTTCAAATGTAACTTCTTACAATCCCTCTCATTACCGACAGAGGCAATAAAGCTCCAGTGAAATTGCCATGCCGAAGTCTTCTCGTGCATTGTTTCGGTGTATTATTTGTAAGACTTATTTCTAGAATATGCTTTTAAGCAAGGGGGGAAAAAAGGTATGGAATACTGGCCTTCTGCATAAAATACCCTCTATTGGTAAGTCTTTTTGGCGGCAGGGGAGGGGAATCTAAGAACTGCTGCAGCACCTTCCCTACTGCAAGTTTAGAAGTACAGAACAGAGGTGATCTTTGGAGCTGTGCTGCACTGCCATTCCCTAGCGTGTGACGGCAGACGCCGCACACAGTGCATTTGTTTAAATATGGTTGAAGACTCCCACACATAAGTAAAGTGACTTTTTTTTTATTGATCAACCTGTTAATAAGGAACTTATGACTTCAAAACTGTTCTACAGTGATATCCGTACTGAGAAATCCTTATTTAAGAAAGATATAATTTTTAAGAATGCATTTAATAAACTTTTGTCGTTCACACTTTATTTAAATAATGTTGCAGGAAGTCGCTGTAGATCTTACTTGACTACGGTACACTGACAATGTCTGGGTTTTTTAAACCCATGGTGCCACTCAGCCCTCTGACCTCTCAAGGAGAAGACCACACCATTGAATACTTGATGAAATTATTAACCTTACCTGTCAGAAAAAGGCCTTAGCTTTGTCATACGTAGGTGACTCTTCAATACCAACAAGTAAGAAGTATCTGCTTGAGTGAGTGTTGTAGTTTCGCCTCAGCCGGCAACAAAGAACCAGGCAGCCGCTCCCTCAACCCCCCCCCCCCACAAGGTGGTTTAACAGAACAGCACAGGAAAGAGGAAAACAATAACACCAACAGTGGAATGTACAAATGTGATTATGGTACCACTGCTCACCACCCACTCACAGTGGCACCTTTCTGCCAGCTCCCCCTATGGCCCGGGCACGGCTCCCACGGTATGGAGTAGCTGCGTCCTGGGCCAGCGCCTTGGGGAAATTAACTCTGTTCCCACCAGAATCCAGACAGTAAGCACCAAGAGTTTTGCTCATGACAGTTTAAACCACCACGCAAAGCCAAGTCTGGACATTTAAATTGGTACAAAAACCAACACCTGGCTTTGGGAAGTTCTTCCACTAACTTGTCCTCACTTTGACAAACACTGTTAAACTGTTATTAGAATGTTTTACATGAAATTACAACTGCTTCTTTCTAAACTCAATTCTATGTTTTCAGAGTATAAAATTTCAAGCCCTTCTCCCTGGAAGAGGTCAAAGGACAACTGGCAGACTTAGAATGATAACCCTGTCAATCAAATTGGGAACAGGAGGCTGCCCAGGAAGCCTGTGAGATGGTGGTGCTGTAACGGTTGTGTGGGGAGAGGACACAGCTGGGCAGCCAAGTGAACACTGGGTTATGCTTGCTGGTGAAGCAATGGGAAGGAAACCCGTGCTGGAACTCAGCACTAAGCAAACCTCAAGGTAGGCTGCATGGTGAGGTGGAACGGTTGGGCTAATGACTGACCAAGGGCAGCTGCTGGAGGGACAACCTGACAACCTTCCCCCCCCCCCAATACATGTGTGTCTATTTATCAATATATATCTCCATACAGATACAGCTATAGATGTGTGTGTGTGTATAAAGTTGGTTGGTGGGTGCTTACTGGTGGACTTCTCTCCAGCCAGAGAAGGCAGCAGGGGCTCTCCACGCTCATGTCAGTGCTCTTCAGTGGCTGTGGTCTGTGTAGGTGGCCACGCATATACGTATACCGGTACTGTACACGTGCACCTGCTGGGAATGTATCACCACCAGTGGTGGTGAACGGAGTCAAATCCAGTTGGTGGCTGGTCACAAGTGGTGTTCCCCAGGGCTCAGTACTGGGCCCAGTTCTTTTTAGTAGCTCTTTATCAACAACCTAGACGAGGGGATCAAGTGCACCCTCAGTACATTTGCAGACAACACTAAATTACATGGGAGTGTCAATCTGCTTGAGGGTAGGATGGCTCTGCAGAGAGACCTAGACAGGTCTGATCAATGGGCTGAGGCCAATGGTATGAAGGTCAACAAGGCCAAGTGCCAGGTCCTGCACTTGGGTCACAACAACCCCATGCAGGGGTTGGGGGGCTTGGGGAAGAGTGGCTGGAGAGCTGCCTGGTGGAGAAGGACCTGGAGGCGTAGGTCAATAGCTGCCTGAATATGAGCCAGCAGTGTGCCCAAGTGGCAAAGGCGGCCGATGGCGTCTTGGCCTGTATCAGGAATAGTGTGGTGAGCAGGACTGGGGAAGTGATCACACCTCTGTACTCGGCCCTGGTGAGGCCCCACCTCAAGTACTGTGTTCAGTTTTGGGCCTCTCACTACAAGAAAGACATGGAGGTGCTGGAGCATGTTCAGAGAAGGGCAACAAAGCTGGTGAGGGGTCTGGAGAACAAGTCTTATGAGGAACAGCTGAGGGAACTCAGGGTGTTTAGTCTGGAGAAAAGGAGGCTGAGAGGATCTTACCGCTCTCTACAACTACCTGAAAGGAGGTTGCAGCAAGGTGGGGGTCAGTCTCTTTTCCAAGCAGCAAGTGACAGGACAAGAGGAAATGGCCTCAAGTTACACCAGGGGAGGTTTAGATTGGATATTAGGAAAAAGTTCTTCACCGAAAAGGTTGTTAAGCATTGGAACAGTAACCAGGGAAGTGGTGGTCGCCATCCCTGGAGGTATTTAAAAGACAGGTACATGTG